TATCCTCTACAACAACTGAACTCATATGCAAATGTGTTAATTAATTGCAGGACGAAGTTGTTATCTGTAGTTGTTTTTTTTTTATGTCAGCTCCTACAAAATGAGTTATCAACTCCGAAAGCGGAATTTTTGTTCCTGTTCTGCAATTATTCGTAATTTATGGGGTCAACTTGGTTTGTTGTCTGTCGGAAAATTATATTTTGTGATGGCTTTGGTAGATTAGAGGTCAAAATAAAGTGCAACAAATGTGCTTCATGATTAAATATTGCTTAATTAGAGAAATTTAATTTCTATCATAAAATCAGTTTTTAATTTACTTAATGAGAGCAAATTCAAGCATGTACTGCAATACACATAACAGCTTTAGCAGAGTAAAAACGTGCTAAAGCTTACATTTTTTCACCCAAAAGACGAGTCCAAGCATGTCCAAGCATGTACTGCAATACACATAACAGCTTTAGCAGAGTAAAAACGTGCTAAAGCTAACTTTTTTCACCCAAAAGACGAGTCCAGACAACTGCTATTGTCTTTTTCTGGGTTCTTGAGTTTTCACTCCAGGTAAAGGACATGTTTAGAGTTAAATAACAACTAAATATAAACATAAATTTTTTTGCAAGTTCCTGATCAATATCGTTGAAGCTTCAGCCTCATAACGTTCTCTTAGCCTTTCTCTACTTATCGAACATTATAGCTTTTGATTTTAATCTATTCTAAATTTTTACAAAGCATTATTTAAAAACAGTAATATTGGTGAAGTTTCTGTAAGATTAAGCATATCACCATTTATGTAGGTATATTGGCATTTTGAGTTAATTTTCTTTAAGTTGTATAAGTCCGGGTTGTTCATTTGATAAGGATGATGTTGGCAATATTGTAAACAAATCTATTTGTAGATCTATTTGTGTTTGTAGACAGAAAGATTTGTATTTGTAACTATTCTAATAGATTGTCAAAATATATACTGCATATGTTTAACCTTTTATTAAGATTATTGTAGTATGTGAATAATACATAAATATTTAAATAAATAAATCTGTTGCAAAATGTTAAACATGGTTTCCAAGTAAATTTCCTTATATTGGTTATTGACCTGAAGATAAAAATTAAGAAGATAATAATGGATTTAAGTAAAATCGAATACTAATTTAGAATACTGTTTTAATTGATAACTAATTTTATTAGTAAAATACTATAAAAAGTTTCTATTTATAAATTCAACATCACAAAGCTTCGGCTTAATAAAAATTTAGTCATTTAGTTAAAATTTGGAAAATTTGTGGTGACATTGTCGTGCAAACAAAGCGTAGAAATAATCATAAATTTCAATACACATCGTCACCAGGTTACAACTCAATAAAAGACTTATAACCTTACTAAATTGCAATTAGAGAAAATCATTTATTACACAATTTTATGTTAATGCTCTGCCCTTGTCTTGTTGCTCTCACTGCTGCTGCAATCCTCCTGTTGTTTGTCGTCACATGATGGTCACAAAAGCGAATGATGCCACTCGCACCACAATCGCGTGGAAACAAGTTGAATGAGCAATTAAAATGGCATTGTCACTTGTAAAAACCAAAACTTTTCGTGTGGTTACAAAAGATTTAATTTTATGATTATACAAGCAAATTTCACTTCATTTACAACAAAACATCCTTGCAATAACTTAAAGCCAATATCACGAAGTGGAAAGACAATGAGAGACCATGGTAGATAGCTCTTTAGTGATGATAGCGTTCAATTAAAAGGAACGCTATATTCAAAAACTATAAAAGCTATAAAAAATATGAAAATTGATAACTATACATACATAGAAAGAAGATAATTTTTACTACTATTATTGAAGTACTCAGAAGTTTATAGAGACTCTGTGAAGGTATTTTAATGAATTTGGAAGCAACAACATTTAGGAAATTTTTACAACAATAATTATCAGAGATTAGATTAGATAGATTAGAAGATCTAATCTATCTGTAGATTATAATCTTAACTATATAGTCTAATCATTATGCAATGACAGAATATAGAATATTCTTTATAGAATATGTATCTATGATTTTTAGAAATATGAGTGGGAACATTCAGATGATAAGTGTCAAAATTGTATGGCAATACGTCTATAAATCATTCATTAAATCATTATAAATCATTATAGCCGCTTAAATTGGACTATTTTTAATATTTGCAAAATAATGGAAGAAAACTAAATTTGCTGGTTGAGTGAACATTATTTTTTGAAGGAAAAAATGAAAAACAATGAATGAAAACCAATATCTTTGCTTAAGTTAATATTATTTTTTTATAGAAAAAAATGGAATAATATCTCTCAGCGATATTGATATAGATAATGTTAAGTTAACATTTTTTTTTTATGGAAAAAAATGAATATTTCGATAATACCAGTATACCATTCATACCATTCATTGTTTTTATGGAATACCACTTTTTCCTATGTCAAATGTCATTTTTTTATTTTATAATCTACCAAGAGGTTAATAAATTTTAAAAATGTTTGCCATTTATTATTTTTTCCCTCTAAAAATAAATGCGTTCCAATTATTTGATATATATGCATGTCAAAAAACCAGTTACGATCACTTGATTAGTCGATAGAGTGACACGCCTTGACATATATACCGAATCTATTCTAAGTAGCAATATCGGTTTGCAAGTAAATTACTTAATATTAGTTATTGACTTTACTATATAAATTGTGAGTAAAATAATGGATTAAGGTAAATTGGAATACTATTTAAACTGAAAAAATTATTACTTGCATTGGAATGTATCTATATAAATTCTATTACAAAAATATGTCTATTTTACGATTAAATTATATGAAATCTTCCGTTATAACAGAGAAATAATACATGACTTCAAGATTGCAGCGACAGCAATCTTACGATTACTTTTTAATACGGACTCTGATCGATCTAAACTAAAATCATATGACATGTTTAAAAATTTTGCCACAAAAAGTAGTTATATAGTAAAATATTTTAAAAAATACTCTGACTATTTAAATCAATTGTTATTATTTTCTAAAATATTAAAAGTTTAGATCATGAGTTTCTTTATAAAAACTAATGGGAAATAAAACTCATCAATTAAATTAAACTGAATAAATCAATTAAGCCCTGCTAAATCTTTATTCTTTGTCACTACAGTCCACTGTGAGCCTTCACCTCCCTACAGCTCTATTAAACACCCGTATTAAATCAAAAGGTTATCGAAAGGGATTCCCTTTTTTATAAAATAAAAGGAAATGCTATTTGAGGCAAATTTTTAGACAGAACCATTACTGGATGCATGGCCATGCCCGTCTACATGGTTAGTTAGAAATGCAGTTATTTATAGGTAAAGTTAGAACGTATCTTTTAACAAATCATATAAAAGTTGTGAGAGAATATAAAAAGTGCATCGTTCTTATCAAATCGTATAAAAAATTTATTTGTTTACTTAAATGATACATGCAGATTTATTTCTATCCAAAGTTTATGTTGAACTGAATTTATTAAAAAAACTTTTACAGCAAATTAACAAAACTCTATAAAAATATGCCAACATAAAAGTCAAGTACAGCTTTGGGTCAGTTGGCTAAGGAGCGTTGACTCTAAGCTTCAAATTCGGCAGGATATGAGTTCGTTTCTTGGTACTTGCAGTCTCAAAAAATTATTTACGAATTATTAAATACAAAAATTATTTTCAAGACCACTGATGATGCGTATTTGACAACACTCGAAACAGTAGTATGGTCAGCCAAAAATTCAATTAATTAAAATAATATAAAATTAATTTTTGTTTTTGTAGTTCACCACTTTTGGAAAAACCTCTATATTTATTATTTTAATTATTATAATTTTAATAAAGTTTGGTTTATTTAATGAAAAATGAAATTTTATTTTACAAAAATTTAGTCGAACCAAAAATGCAATTTAATCGAAACTCGTATTTATATCTTTCAAAATAAAATTGACCTTGTGAAAGTAAAATAAATACGTCATAACTTTCTCAACAGCCGCAGACAAAATAAAAATAATACCATAAATGTCATGTAATTGAGTTTAATGGATAGCAAAATATTTCATTGTAAATCAAAAATAGGAAAAAACGGATCATATATAATTGTCATTAGCTACGTCAAAATTTTGGGAAAACCCCTAATCTGAGACAATGCAGGGCTTTTATGTGACCTGTTAATTTTAATGCATGTAGACTGTAATCAATTTCATTATTTACGATTATTTCATGTTCAATTTAAGGCAAATAATTTATTTGATAATACATGACACGAGTCATCGAATCTATATATTGGGGGTGTGATTTAGTTACGTATGACTATCAATCAAATTAACCATTTAACAAGCAAAAAATCATAACAAATCTGCTTATCAATAAATTTACCAGATATCAAATAAACATGTTTGAAATGCTTTTTTTTCATGTCTTATCATAGAACTTTCGTATCAAAACTTATTTCTCCAAAAAAAAAATATCCTAAATTGTAAAATTATGTACATTTTCCACCCAAAGTTGCTGGTTGACTCACCTCTATTATTATTTTTATTAAAGAAACATGTATCAATTTCGGTTTGAGGTCACATTCTGGTTACTTGCTTAGGCCCGCAAATTTTGAAATTCGTATATTTTTTATCTTTTTTATTTTTTTTTTTTTGCTTCAATTTATATTTACATTTTTTATTTTATTTTGGTTGAAGCGAGATTTTTTATTACTGTTTTTATAGAAGAAAACGTGGCACTTGTTTAAATTATACCCGAAATGGCAACCCTTAAAAAGGACACGTTATGTCTTTAAATACGTTTATGGCAAAGCAAAGGATTCTACTTGGTGGTAATTGTTGAGTGTAAATTTGCTATCAGTTTTTTTCTTCGCAGGTGTCCTACGTATTTTAAAATATCTTGAAAACAAATTCTTTGAATTTAGCCAAAATTAAAATTTATATAATGAACGTAAAAGATATTGTATCTGATTTCTATAATTTGAAAGTATTTGAGCTAATCATCATTTAATTAATATTTACATTTTTATTACAAAATAATACAGTGTTAGTGTTATGTTAATCTTAATATGAAAATTTCTGAGATATAAAAGAATAAAAAAAAATTGAAAATTTATCTGCAAAACTTATTTATCTTTGAATATGTATAACTATATGAATCAACTATGATTCGTAGAGTACAGATGTATTTCCTTTACATTCGGTTAGATTCCTCAAACTAAATAGATCTGAACTAAACTTAATCACTGCGTTATTAACTGGATTTAAGTAACACTTTTCAAAATTTATAGAAAAATAATACAAATATTTTGAGTTTAACCTTAGTGTGAAAATTCGTCAGATATGATAGAATAAAGAATATTTTGAAAATTTATTTGCAAGACTTATTTTTTTTTTGAGTACGAACAATTATATGAACCAACTGAGAACCGCTGTGGGCATAAGTATCTCATCAAATAGATCGAAATTCAAATTAATCATAGGCTTCTTAACAGAAAAAGTTTTTTAAGTAAAACTTCTCAAAGTTTATTGCAAAATAATACAAATAC